AAACTGAAAAAGGACACAGGCAAAAGCAGATGGAAAATCTCGAAGTCTTCTGGTGCTGATGTCTTGAGGAGAATGTTCTCCTTGTTCATCAAGGAGATTGTTGAGGGAATGATAGGTTACGTTCGCCTTCCAACTATCATGTCCAAACTCCTTTCTGATAATGGTAGCCAAGAATTTGGCGATTTTAAACTAACCATATTGGGTATGCTCGGGACATACGGCTTTGAAAGAAGAATTCTGGTAACTTTTGTACCTTTATTACTCCTCCTGTTTTCTTTTCTTAAATTTTTGTTTTTAAAATCATTTTTTCATCAAGATTTTCTGGTGACAAAAACCTCCTATCTTCGATAAAATTATACTAAATGATCAATTGAGACTATTAGTTGAATCATGTCAGAAATTGCTTCAAGAAGCATGGCATGATAGGGTTAATTTTTATTTGGATACTAATATATTCTCGCTAATCATTTTTACTGGTAACTTGGTTGGACTTGTGAGAAGAAAAGGAGACTCTTGCTTCAAAACAAGGGAGGGGATTGTTAGGCATAAGTTATGATCTACATATAAATGGTACATCTAGGCTTTTAAAGGACAAATTAATCTGCTTGAAGTTTTAATACAACAATAGAGAGTTGAAATTTTCTTCTCTTCACTTTTAATGGGCTTATGTTTTTTTTCCCCCTTTCCTTTCCTTTCCTTCTTTACAAGCAGGATGCCGCCAAATCCTTGATAGAGGATGATACGTTTTATACCATGAGTTTACTCAAGAAAGGAGCCTCTCATGGGTATGCCCCCAGGAGTATAGTATGCTGTATTTGTAATAGCCTTCTAACAAAGAACTCCGAAAGCTCTGGGGTTCGAGTTTTCAATTGTGGCCATGCAAGTCATCTCCAATGTGAAGCTTTGGATATAGAGTCATCAAGTAGAGTTTCACCATCTGGATGCCCTGTATGTATGCCTGCACAAAAGTTCCAGCAGTCGTCTAAAAGCAAATCAGTTGTGGCTGAGAATGGCTTGGTGAATAAATTCTCATCCAGACGCCAACAGCCTAACGGAAGTACCTTCCATCCACATGAAAGCGATTTAACAGAGAATACATATGGGCCTCAACAGATTTCACGGGTAAGTATACACGTCGATAGATTTTAAATAGAATAAATTACATTCATATCCCTTCAGCTTTTTGAAACCTACACTGGGGGGGGGGGTGCCCACATGGAAGAGTTCTTTATCCACTGCCATTAGAATTAAACTCTACTTTTGTTTCAAAATATTTCGGTAGTGCCCTTTGCTTCAAGTTCTCGTAAGTATTAGTTTGACCTTTTGATAATTTGTCATGCATTGGACTAGACAACCATGGGCTTTCTATTGAGTAAAACTGCACAAAATATAACCTGTGTTAATAAATTATGTTAATGGCAAAACTTAGGAATAAGTTTTTAGGTTTTATGGTTTTTATTGTCAAGTTTTCCGATAAAAGCATCGCAAGTTTTTTTTTTTTTTTTGGCAAGAGAGTTTAGCGTCATATGATTGATATTTTCAAAAAGTTTCCTCCTTTATTTATTAGTCTTGTCCTCATGTTTATAGAAGGAAGGTTTGTAAAAACTGAAATTAGGAGGTCTGATGTGGGTTTTGTGAACCCAAGGCAGGTGAATACAATTTACTCTCTTAAACATGCTGAACATGTTCATATTTTTGGGCATTACAAATTCAAATTGTGAAATTGATTCTGCAGTTCGAGATTCTGTCCAGCTTGCAGAAAGATCAGAGATTTGTGCAAATAGAAAGCTTACCTCAGCTGAGGCTTGCACCTCCAGCTTTATACCATGAGAAGGTAAATAGAGTGACAGATCTTCTGGCTGGAGAAAGCAGCGGCAGTGCTACGGCTGCTGAGAAACAGAGTCAAAATAAGCAAAATCGAGAGTTTCGAGTCAAGGGGTCGTCGATTCGGTTCCCATTAAAATCAAGTATATTTGGTGAGTGTTCTTTCCCCCGCAAATTAAGAAAGTAATGACTGTCATGAAATGTTCAAATTCTGACGCAAGGGAAACATGTCTACAGGTAAGGAGAAGAGTAATAATAAGCGGTGACCAACTTCTTCAACTGAAACAGACAGTTTAAGCACACTAACCGAGTGTATAGACTAACGAAGCTATTTTTTCCTCATAGTTTGTCGGTAGCTTTTGGGTTTTGATGGGTCTCCGCCATTTATATTCTTTTGTATCGCATTTTTGTATAGGTGATTAGCATTAATCAATATCAGTCAGTATATTTCACTAGTAAATCTCTTGGAAGCCAATATTGAGCTTTCTGTGTTTGTAGTGTCTTTATCTGCTCTTAATTGGGCTTAGTGTTTCATTTATGGCATTGTTTTATATTACTTGTAATCGAGGAAGAACAAGGCATAGACAAAGACGAAGGGCATTTTTCTCTACTGTCGAATACTTTTTCCTATTCTATATATAAAAGCAAAATCATATATCTCAATAAACATTTATTATTAAATTTTTTAAATTATCTTTCATAAACTCATAATCTATATTTATGAAAAACAATTAATATAGTTTTATTTTGATTAAATATAAGAGTATTTTAGTTTAATATTTTTATTTTCACACATAATTATTATTGTTAATTAATTTTTTTAAATTGTATGATATAATTTTATTTTTCGTACATACATGTATTTATGTGGGTGTGTGTGTGTCAAAGTCAAGAGCGAACAAGACGCATTGATTGGAGCTTTTAACAAGAAGAGTTGAGGAGATGGCATTTAAGAAGTATTCTTTACGGGTAAAACTAGTAATATTTATATTCCTCGAATTTTTTTTCCTCAGATCAGTTTGGATTTAAGAGTTTCTTTCACCGACTTTTGTACAAAATCACTTAACCTTTTCAGACTTAGTTCTAAAAGAACGAATTAACCGAGTTTATCCGAAATTTAACATGAAACATTTTATTAAAAGGGTAACTCCGTAATGTTACATGATAATTAACTATCAGACATTTCTACTGACATTTTAAAATTTTTATATCATCAACTAAAAATTAAATTGCTAAGTTGGTCCAAGTGTCATTCTTTACTAATTAAAGTTGCCGCCACTTAAAAAAGTATTTGAGAATTCAAATTTCAATTCTTATATACTTTTATAGCTCTATTTATAAGACAAATAGAAAAGAAAAAATTTAATCATATTTATAGGGTACTTATTAATTTTTAATACTTTTTTTATATTTTTATTCTTACTAAATGCTTTAAATAAAAATACTATCAATAAAATTTAAGAATATTTATTAAGGATTGAGGTGAAAATTTATTAAATTTTAAGATAAAGTTATTAAGATTTAAAATTTTCTTTGATTTTAATAAAATATTTTAAAAGTAATTTATAAATATAACCAGATGAAGTATATAATAATTTAGTTGAGATAAATATATTTTTTGCTTTTTAAATATCTTGAGAGAGATGGAGGTTGTTTGAAACTGTTTTTATTTTATTATTTTAAAAACTGGTGCTTTGTAAAACATGTTTTAAAAATAAAAAAATAAAAAAAAGGCTTTTTCTCATTATCCTTTATTTTTTAAAATAATAATCCCATAATACTTGAAAGTTATTTTTCTTTTTATATTCTCCAAAAAAATATATTTTTTTATTCTTTAAAATATATTTTAACAACACATTATCAAATAATTTTTTTTATTTTTTTATTTTGAAGAGCAAAAAATCATTTCAAAAACAGTTGTCAAACATGCCTATAATTTTTGTTATCTGAATTTACTTGTGCACACTCAAAGAAAGAAAAAGAAAAGCGGTCACAAAATAAAATGATCCCTCTTCTTACTTGCGAGTGGCGGCGTATTAGCTTTTTGTGCAAAGATCCTATATTTTTGGAGCTCCTTTCAAATGTTTTTCCGTGCCAATTGTGTTGAAGAACTGAAAGAGTAGCATGTTTTTAGGTAAAGTAAATATTCTCTCTATTTCAAATTATAAAATATTTTTAAATAAAATTTTATATATCAATAAATATCATTAAATATATTAATAATTTTATCTTTACAACATAAAAATTTAAACTTTTAAAAATACTCATCATTTAATATATTGAAAAGAGAAAGGACAAGAATTAATTATAGAGAAAGAAAAAATAAAATTAAAATTAATACTTTTAATGAAACCTTAATCTACTTAAAGTATATTATATTTTGGGAAGAAAAACTTATTTAAAAGTGCCTTATAATTTAGGACGGAGAGAGTATAATATAATAATCAACACATTGATACAAAATTTAAAATAAAATATATCATTTATAACTTACTAACAATATTACTCGTTTATAATTTTAATACAATACATTATACATGTGCCTCGCATTTAATAATTTGAAATTTGCATATGGAAAATCCAATGTTAAACAAAAATTAATTAAAATTTGGTTTGAATTTCTATAAGCAACATTTTTGGTATCAAACCACCTCTATCTGAAAGCCCCGTCAAACTTGATTATTTTGAATTAAGTTATAAATGAGCAGAGGTGATAAAAAAGATATTAACGGTTAAGTGGCACAATCCCATACTTGTTGAATTACATTAGTTAGTTTATAAATAACATTTATTTTATTTTTTGGCCAACGTATAAATGTTTTTTTATTTAAAAAAATTGGAGAATAAGAATAGTATTTGTAATTACTCCTCTGGTCCTACATATTAAGTACTTTTTAAAAGTATAATTTGGTTTATTTTATAAGGATAAAATTGTTTTGTTTTAAATTAAAAATTTTGAATTACCTTTGAAAAGTTAAAAAAAAAGAAAAACAAAAAAATAATACTATATTATTTGTTTTTTATTTTTTATTTGAGGGTTACGTTTAAAATTTTATTTCTTTTTATTTTTTATATTTTTATTATATTAATATTGTTAAAATTAATAAAAATAATTTATAAATAACACCGGATGAATATGAAGCAGAGAGGAATGAAGAGCATGGGATGCAAGGAAAAAAAATTGGTTGGGTGTGGGTAGCTTACCTCGGCCTTTGCTTGAGGGATTGATTCTGATTCCTCTTTCTTCCATCACTTCATTTCCACATCGCAGCCTCCAACGCTCAAGACGGTTAATTCAACGTCCCTCTTCCTCGTTTCCTCCGCCTCCTTCTTCTTCATAACATTCCCTCCTTCCCTTCCCTTCCCTTCACACTCGCCATACCCTTTCTTCTTCCCCTCTCTCTCTCTCTCTCCCCTTCTCTATTTCTGTCTCCCCATAATAATGTCGTTCTCTGCAACCAAGTTCGCCCAGCCTCTCCCTATCAATTCCGTCTCTGCCTCCAGATCCAATGACAAGCCTCTCTCTTTTGATCCCTTCAAGACTAGCTCCTCTTTCCTTGGATCCACTCTCAAGCTTCGCTTCCATGCGCCCTCTAAGGCTTCTCACTACCGTCGATCCATTGCCACTGCTGTTTCCGATGTTGTTAAGGAAAAGAAGCTCCAATCTTGCGCTAATCTGGTGAGTAGTGACCTTTTACTTTTAGACCTTACTTTTGATATGAATCACTGCTTCTCGGCAATAGCTATTCGAATGAGTTTGTGTGTGGGTGTTGTCGTAGAATGGATTCTGTGTAATGGCTAGTTGAAAAAGCTTAGCTTTTTATTCAATTGAACTCAGTTTTGTTTCCGAAGAAGAGTGTTTGAGATTAGTGTTTTTATTTCTTTGCATACAGCTTCTTACCAGAGAGGAAGCTTTAGTGCTCTACGAAGACATGGTATTGGGCAGGGCCTTTGAAGACATGTGTGCCCAGATGTACTACAGGGGCAAAATGTTCGGCTTTGTCCACCTGTATAATGGCCAAGAAGCTGTGTCAAGTGGGTTCATCAAACTTTTGAGGAAAGACGATTATGTAGTGAGCACATACCGTGACCATGTTCATGCCCTGAGTAAGGGAGTCCCGGCTCGTGCTGTGATGAGTGAGCTTTTCGGAAAGGCAACCGGCTGTTGCCGAGGACAAGGTGGTTCAATGCATATGTTCTCAAAAGAGCAGAATGTGCTCGGCGGGTTTGCATTCATTGGTGAAGGAATTCCAGTAGCCACTGGGGCAGCATTTTCCACCAAGTATAGAAGGGAAGCATTAAAACAAGCTGATGCTGATCAGGTCACATTGGCATTTTTTGGAGATGGGACTTGTAATAATGGGCAATTCTTTGAGTGCCTAAATATGGCAGCTTTGTGGAAACTACCGATTGTGTTTGTTGTGGAAAACAATTTGTGGGCTATTGGGATGTCTCATCTCAGGGCAACTTCAGATCCTGAGATATGGAAGAAAGGACCAGCATTTGGAATGCCAGGAGTTCATGTAGATGGGATGGATGTTTTGAAAGTCAGAGAGGTGGCAAAGGAGGCGATTGAGAGAGCGAGGAGAGGTGAGGGACCAACTTTAGTGGAATGTGAGACCTACAGATTTAGAGGGCATTCACTGGCTGATCCTGATGAACTTCGTGACCCTGGTAAGATTTTTTGTGTTTCTTTTTCAAACCTTATTATCTACTCCTATCTGGTATTTTATTTTGAAGCAAATTATATGCCTGTTTTTGCACTCTTGATGGATTATTATGCAGTTTAATTATGCATACTCCTTGTATATGTTTTGTTATATAGTTTACTATGAGTTAACTTCCCTGCATTCCCATAAATTCAACCAGTTCAAAGCAACCCCATCTGCATGCCTGATGCTGAAAAGGTTTCTAGATGTCATGTTTACTGCAATTATAAATGCTAGCATGTCTGCTTGGTTTGGTTAGCATTCTTGCTGAACTACAGAAATGAGAATGTAGTCAATATACAATTATACATCAATGATAAGTATAGTTGAGATGAAGAATACGGCAGTTAGTCACCTGGTTAAGGGTATTTATTAGATGGCCTTGATTATAAATAGAAGATTCATATGAATATTGAATTATGTTCATATGAAAAGTTTGTGTATCCTAACCCTGGCTTGAAGCTTAAAGTTTGGTTTACATTCATTAACTCCACCCAATTAGATGAGACCAAATTTTTCTGTGGGTAACATAAGCTTCATTCCGATGAGATGGTTTTTGGGCCTGTAGAAGTAGTAATACTACTTAGTTGAGGTGAGTCATATCATACTATTTATTGTTTAGGAATGTTGGAGCTTTTTATATATTTTATGTTATATATGGATCGGTAATATGTGAAGCCTTCTATAGTCTTGATTCTTGAAGACTTGATCACCGGTATGGGCATTGGCTTAGTTGTGTTGTTACAGTAATAAAGCTGTAATGCTTGCCTTTCAATCAACATGAAAAGGATTGGTGACATCGATTTACAAAAGATATGATCCACACAACTGAGATAATCCATGATTTTCTGAGATGTCATTATCCTTTCTGCTAATGCTACTGACGCATAGCTTTGTCTTCAGCAGCCTTCATTTGTTGTGCTCGGTATTTCTAATTCTGGTAGATTATACTTTGATTAAATATTTCCTCCATATTATTCTGAAGATTAGTGAATGCCTATTTCGGTCAGTTTCAATATTTGAACTTCTGATGTTTTGGCAAGGCATGCTTCCAACTTTTCATGCGTTAGTTATTGTAAGGGCTAAGTTGTTCATGACATTGCCTTGCACATCTAGCATGTCTTACCTCTTGAGATGTTTTCATAGTTTTATAAATTCTCATTTTCTACATGTTTACCTACATAATCTTGCAGAAGTAATCTTCTGATCAATTAAGCCAGTAAATTTTGTAACATAATTGAATCCATCTCATCTTATTCTGGTTTCTCTCAGTCGTTTGCTTTTGGTTGTAAAGTTCATTAAAATCAACATTCATAACCTCTCGCTACCTTTTCAGCTGAGAAGGCACACTATGCTGGTAGGGATCCCATCTCTGCATTCAAGAAATACATGATTGAGAACGAGTTAGCTAATGAACAGGAATTGAAGAACATTAATAGGAAAGTTGATGAGATTATTGAAGATTCTGTTGAGTTTGCAGACGAGAGCCCTCTTCCACTCCGCGGTCAGCTTCTAGAGAATGTCTTTGCCGATCCAAAAGGTTTCGGAATTGGACCAGATGGCAGCTATAGATGTGAGGATCCAAAATTCACCGAAGGCACCGCCCAAGTCTGATTGTTTCCAGTCTGACCTCTATTTTCTTGTGTTGGTTTTTAGTTTTGGATGCATGTTCTTATTCTTATAGTTACCAGGATCAAATGTTAATCACGAAATGTATTAAGGTTTATAATATAATCAGGATTTGTTCTTTAGGTTGGATTTTGTTTTTTTCCTTCTTTTTGGCTGCCTTTAAGTTATCATTGTCATTGATTGTGGAACTAGTGTCGAGAATGGCTGCCCCATAAGGTTCATATATATTGCTCTTCTTTGTAGTCTCTGTGCAGAAGGTAAAATTCTTGTATTACCTGTCCTTGTAGTGGTGCCTGCCCCTTTACACGAGTGGCTTTTGAACATAAAATTACCGTGGCAACAAGGGAAGTTTGGAATAAAAGCAACATTTCGAGTGAACTTGTTAAATTTGTGGATGAACAGATCTTTGTCTTCTTACTAATGTTTTCAAAATCAGATAGGATATTAAACCAAAAAAGTTAGTAGTTCACGATTCGCATGACTCAATCAGGTTGGACCAAAGGTGAGACCAGTGATATAATAATTAAATTAAAAAAAATTATATATATATATATATATATAATAATCTAAATATAAAAAATAAACATGAAATTGTTATTTAAAAATAACCAAATATTTTAAGTTTATCATAACTCAACAAGCCACATGATTCAACATAATATCAAATAATTAAAAAATTAATCATTTTTTAAAAAAATTTGATAAAAAATAAAAAAAATTTAACAGTCCAATTTTTAAAAATCAAATTCAGTTTTTGATTTGATTTTAGTTTTTGATCCAACCATCGATTCAAAACAGTTCAACTCGATAAAAATAATTTTTACATATTAATCGAATTGAAATTCAGGCCAGTTCGACTATTCGGTTCCATTTTTAAATTACTGCTTTTTACATTGCAAAGCATGGATTTGACACTCCTACTTATATTCATGGTTTCTGGTCCACTTATGGGATGACACAACGAGCACAATTACTTTTGATAAGGCACGTTCTCTTTCAAATGTAGATATATATATATATATATATATTTTAATTCCTATTATAAAATACATCAGATTACCTCATTAGAATTAAAAAAAAAGAGTTATTACTTTTATTTAAAAATAAAATAAATCATTAATTTACCATTATTTAAATAAAATATTTTTAAATTTATATTATATTCTTTTTTATAATTAATGAATTTAAATGAAAGTAATATTAAAAAAATATAATTAATACCTCACTAAGTACCTTAATATAAGGATAAAAAATTCTATTTAAAAAGCATCTTATAATAACAAAGAAGGTGTGTGTGTACATAAAAACATCAATTAATTTTGAATTCAATCTTTATTCACATTTCATCTTAATTTTATTGGTTACCACTTGAATTAGTCTTTGACAGTAGAAGTTTTCATTATCTTCACACACTTTATCATATTATTACAATTTACAATTCATGAGGTAAAGAATATTACACCGTGCTTCACCGAACACTGATCTTTATTGCCTTGAAGTTGATGAGAAAATATCGAAAGCCAACTTAGAAGATAGACCACCTTTATTTCAAAATTAGATGGTCTACGACGTGCAGCAATGCTCCACTTTCTCACAAGATGCCCTATGCTTGACCAAAGACCACATTGGAAAGCACAAAAGAATTGGAAGTATGACTGCCCAAAATACTGATAAAATAGTGACAACAAGAATGAGAATAAAAGGAACAAAAGAATGTGAAGAATCCATGGGGGCGGTAGGTATCACAAGTCACAAGTCATAACCTTAGAGCAGCTATTGCTTCAGGCTTGAAATCCAGTCGTAGACCCAACACACGCCTAACCTCCGCTGGAGTCAGTCTCCATGTCATAGGTCCTGAGTTTTCACCCCAGAAATCTAGAATCTCAGATACCTTTTCTAGATTCAGAATTGTTGCCATTTGAGTAAGACGAGAAAACTTGTCTCTCACAGTTCGCTGTGTCATGCTGGAGAAACAGCTTACTAATGTTCTAACATCTCTATCAAGTTGAAGGCCACCGAGCTGACTAAATCTTTTCTCCATCATGATGACTTCAAGTCTCTTTGCTATGAAATGAATAACCAAATGAACAAACGTGTCATAGTTGCTAGCTGTCATAAGTGGCTGCAGCCATGTCACATTTGTCTCCGCAGCATGGAGAAGTCTTTGAACCCATGGGTCATTCACCTCATTTTCTGTATACTCAGATTCTGACAACTCATAGCTGATTGTTCCTACGCTGTCTAGTACTGGACGTAATCTTGGCGTGATTGTTGCTGCGAGCAGTTCCATGCCAACACTCAGAGCTTGGTTGAAAGCATTGCTCATATCTCCCAACTCAGACAAACAAGATTTTACCCTCTCTCGATCAGCTGGTGCAGGAAAAACCTATATAAAATAATTCAGTCAGTTGATGCTGATTGCAAAAAATTATAAAACGATAGGAAAGGGTGCGAATGGCCAAGAGTATCGATAAGACCTGTAATTTTGTAAGAATTTTTTTCAAAGGAATCCCTATCTTTATGGAATGTAATTCATATATTTTACAAAATAGAAAAACTACGCTGCAGGCTCATAAAACTTGTTTTCTGTACGAATATAAGAAATTAAACAGGGAGGGTATATTTCTTAAAGTAAAACACCAATGATATCATTTCTAAGGATAATTACTAATTGAATAGTTGTGGATTAAATAAGCACGTAGTGTTGGAATATTATTTATGAATTAGCATTAATTAATAAGCCCAATAAATTGGTCCTTATGATCTTGTGTGGACCGTGATAGGTGGACCACACAAGTGAGCCCAATAGGCAGAGGCCCAACCCACAACCCAGTAGCCGTCAGTTATTTCCTATCTCTTAACTGACTGAGTCAGAGATAATAGATAATATAATTATTTAATTATATTAATAAGGCGGTTACCGATCTGATCTATATAAGACGATTAGTCGGTAACCACAAACACACGACTCATTTTCTTCTACTTTCATTATCTCTGAACTCTCTGAAGGCTCTGGGGACTTGAGGGTTGTGTACCTGCCTGCACTCGAGGTAATCGAGATTTTTCTAGCACTCATGGATTCTTCAGGTACGCATGAATTATTTTATTCTATCATATTATTATTACATATATATGTGAATTGAGATATACAGAACTACACGTGGCATCAGAGCCTTGGTAACGACTTTTAAATTTATATATCTCAATTCCCTTCACGTATATTTTTTTTTTTGATATATTGAAAAGATTCATGCTCATGTTGATAAATTTCTTATGATCCATATTCTTCAGATTTGAATATGAGAACTTTGTTTTCAATCTTATTATATTTATTATAAAAAAAAATTTCTCCTTCTCGGTGTCATCTCCCTATTCACTGTATGTTTCTGTCGCCGGAGAATGACTCCAAGGACGTCGGACATGATCGCCGGAAACGGAGTTGCCGGTGCGTCGTCTGCAGCTTCATTCTCCGCTGCTACGTGGAACCACTGCTGGCGTTGTGGACCTTCGGAGCCACTGCTGGCGTTAATTCTGCACTCGCCGGAGCCACTGCTGGCGTTGTGAACCTCCGGCGTTGTGGTCGTCGGCTGGTTTCACTGGTGCTGCCGCTCATCCTTCCCCTCCCCAGTGCTTCTGGCTCGCGGCAGCTGAAAGAAGCTGCAACAGGATCATGAAACCGGATCCTAGGGATCCGTTTCATAGTTCTGGGCCCAAAGAAGTTTGGGCCCAAAGCTGTTATTATAAAAAAAAATTTGGTAGGCTGGACCAAGTCATTGGGCCCAAATCACATGGGCCCAGTATAATTAAAAAAAATAATTCTGGTAGACTGGACCAAGTCCATTGGGCCCAAATCGTATGGGCCCAGTAAAATTAAAAAAAATATATATATATATATATATTTTATAATTGCGTTTCAGCCTCAGTTTAAATTACCTCCTTTGGCCCATAATTTATTGAATTTTACGAATTAACCCTATGATATTTCTGGAAATTTTCAGTTTAGTCCCTTAACTTTCAGAATTGCAATTTTGACCCAAATCTCTCCCAGAATTACTTATTTGCCCCTGATTACCTTTCAAAATTTTACTTTAGTCCTAGATTCTTTTCCTTAATTCCCAAAAGACCCTAAGGACTTTTAAAATAATTTTATTTTGTCCTAAAGTCATAAAATTTGTGACTTTATAAATTATTGATGATGCGTAGGATCCTGTAGCATTGATAATGGACATACCCTATAGGTGTGACATTATTATGTGATTTTGATGGTTGGCTTTGAGAATAGGCTAATAGCACTCCTTTAATGTATTAGATATTTATTGTACCCTATAGGTATGGAAATGTTTAATGCATTATTTTGTATGGACTTTTGTGTGAGCTAAATCTTTATAGTATATGAGCCTTCTTGGTGCATGGTTATAGTTGCATAATTGATAATCGCTTGTTGAGAATTCTGTTTTATAATTATATTGTGCACGCATAATTAATATTTCCCATTTTCTGTTTTGCGATTTCAGTTTCTGCTTTTACGCAACTATCCTTTGTGAAAGCTCTTAATGGGACTAACTATGATGACTGGAAAGAGTCTCTCAATATGTATCTGACCATTTCTGAGAAAGATTTAGCTCTGAGAGAGCCCAAGCCTGCGGATCTCTCTTCCGAGTCCAGTGCTTCTGAAATAGCCTTCCATAAACAATGGAGTGAGTCCAACCGGATCTGTCTAGCGATCATCAAGTACACAATTGAAAAGGGAATTAGGGACAGCATTCCTGAAAATGATACTGCAGTGGAGTACTTGAAAGCTATTGGTAACAAATATAAGAAGCTTGACAAGACTCAAAAGAACTACTATCTGTCACTTCTTGACAATACTCGATACGACGGAGTTTCTGGTGTCAGAGAGCACATTCTGAAGCTTGTTCATTACTATAACAAGCTTAAGTCATATGGGATTGATTTGGGTGAAAGCACCTTGGTTTACCGTGTTCTTCAATCACTGCCATCAGAGTACGCATTCTTGAGGACTTCATACAACTCACAAGAAGCTGAATGGTCTGTTGACCAGATGATATCGATAGTCACTCAAGAAGAGGAAGCTATAAAGAAGAATTCCTCTCACTCAATAAACTATGTCTCCCATGGCTCTAGCAGCAAATCTGGAGGGTCACATAAGAAAAAGGGGAAGAAGCATGATGCCCCAAAGCCTAATAATCCAACCTTTAAAAAGGATGGTGATAAGAGTGAGAAGTCGAGGAAGAAACCCTTTAAAGGGTTATGCAATTATTGCAAGAAACCGGGACACATTAAAGCTAATTGCTTCAAATTGAAGAACAAACAAGAAAGTGAAGGTACAACTTTTCAAACTGCCCCTCTAGCTCTAGTTTGTTTTGAATCTAACACCATTGAAACTTCCTTTGACTCATGGTGGCTGGATTCTGGTGCCACTGTACATATTGTGAATTCTCCACAGGGGCTAAGAAACCAAAAGGTTCCAAGTGAGGCACAGAGGTCAGTCTTTGGCATAGCAGGGAGCAAGGCATCAGTTGAATGCATTGGAACTATTTCTTTGTATTTAAATTCTGGTCATGTTTTACATTTGAACAATGTTGTTTATGTACCTTCTGCGAAGAGGAATTTAATTTCAACTTCTGCATTGGATATTTGTGGCTATTCATTCTTCCAAGGAAATGGAAAAATTGACATTTGTTTTGATTCCATTAATGTTGGTGTCGCTTCCTTGATATATGGTTTATATCGATTGAATGATTGGTCACTTGTACTTCCTAATCTTCATGTCAATGCTGCTATTGGGCATAAACGTCAAAGGCCCAATGATAATTCCTCTATGGTATGGCATCGTCGTTTGGGTCATATCTCTAGAGAGAGATTGGAACGCATGATCAAGCAAGGCGTCTTACGAGACCTTGATTTCTCAGATTTTGAGACTTGTGTTGACTGTATAAAGGGAAAATTCCCTGCTAGAGCTAGAACCAAAGGGGCAAAGAGGTCTGAAAATACTTTAGACCTAATCCATACTGATATCTGTGGACCTATCACGCCTCCGGCTATGGGTGGTTTCAGATATTTCATCACCTTCACGGATGATTACTCTCGTCATGGATGAATTGAACTCTTGCGTGAAAAGGGCGAGTCCCTTAATGCATTCAAGACCTTTAAAGCAGCAGTCGAATTGAAATCTGGCAAGTTGATCAAGTGTGTGAGATCTGATAGAGGAGGAGAATTTTATGGGAGATATACTGAGACTGGTAGGAACCCTGGGCCATTTGCTTTGTACCTTCAAGAGCATGGCATTGAAGCTCAATATACTATGCCTGGCACCCCGCAGCAAAATGGGGTTGCAGAAAGGAAATCGTACTCTCATGGATATGGTTAGGAGCATGATCAGTCACTCCTCACTACCGGAATTCTTGTGGGGTGATGCACTCAAAACTGCTGTTTATATTTTGAATCAAGTTCCTAGCAAGTCAGTTCCAAAGACTCCATATGAGTTGTATTTTGGAAGAACTCCTGCGCTGAAGCATATGCGAGTTTGGGGTTGTAAAGCACAGGTAAAACCTTACAATCCACAACAGATGAAGCTTGATGCTAAAACTGTTGATGGTTTCTTTATTGGCTATTGCATCGGATCTCGTGGGTACAGATTCTATTGTCCAAATCACACTATTAGGGTAATTGAATCTGACCGAGCTTACTTCTTTGAAGATGCCTTAGACAATGGGAGCTCTGTGCCTAAGCATATTACCTTGCATGACGAAAGTAGCATTTTGCCTATGCCTATCATGACAACTCCTCATGTTGACAGAAATAATGACGTGGATCAGAATGAAGCTCAAGATGAACCACCTTTAGAGGGTGATAGGGACATGGTTGTTGAACCGAGACGGTCCCAATGGGTTCGCAGGTCTGCTATTCCAGATGATTACATGGTATATTTACAGGAATTTGATTCAGATGCTATTGATAACTTAGACCCAATGTGTTACCAGGAGGCCATTTCTAGCTCGCATTCTTCTGAATGGTTGGAGGCTATGAGTGAAGAAATTGCCTCTATGTATCGCAATCACGTATGGGAGCTTGTAGAGCTACCAAAGGGGTTTAAACCAGTGGGTTGCAAGTGGGTCTTTAAAACAAAACGAGGAGCTAGGGGTGAAATTGATAGATATAAAGCCAGACTTGTAGCTAAAGGCTACAACCAGAAGGAAGGTATTGATTACACAGAAACCTTCTCTCCGGTATCCACCAAAGATGCTTTTAGAGTGGTAATGGCTTTAGTTGCACAGCTTGATCTTAATCTTCACCAGATGGATGTCAAGACTGCGTTCTTGAATGGCGATTTGTATGAAGAAGTCTACGTGACACAACCTGATGGTTTTGTTGAATCCGGTAAAGAACATCTAGTGTGCAGATTAAAGAGATCCATCTATGGGTTAAAACAAGCCTCTAGGCAGTGGTATCTGAAATTTGATGAAGTTATCACCTCTCTCGGTTTTGTTGAGAATGTCTCAGATCAGTGCATCTATCAGAAGTTTGATGGGAACAATTTTGCCATTCTTGTTCTCTATGTTGATGATATCTTATTAGCCAGCAATTCAATAAATTTTCTCAATGAGATAAAGCACCTATTGTCTTGCCATTTTGACATGAAGGATATGGGTGAAGCCTCCTTTGTTCTTGGGATACAAATTCATCGTGATAGATCTCGTGGTATTCTTGGTTTATCACAGGCCACTTATATTGAGCGGGTACTTAAGAGATTCAAAATGGATTCATGTTCTCCTTCACTTGCTCCTGTACAGAAAGGTAAGCTGTTGTCAAAGTCACAGTGTCCCAAGGATGATAAGAAGAGGGCTGAAATGAGAAAGATACCATACGCTTCCGCTGTCGGCAGCCTTATGTATGTTCAAGTGTGTACTCGACCAGATATAGCCTTTGCCATTGGAGTGCTAGGTCGATACTTAAATGATCCAGGTCCGGATCATTGGAAGGCTGCTAAGAAAGTTATGAGGTATCTTCAAGGTACAAAGGATCATATGTTGACTTACAGAAGATCAAATTCTCTTGAGGTTGTTGGGTATTCTGATTATAACTTTAAGGGATCAGAAGATCTTGAGATTGTTGGCTTTTTAGATTCAGATTTTGCCTCTTGTCTAGATGATCGTAAATCCACGACTGGCTATATTTTCATGTTGTCTGGAGGAGCTGTCTCTTGGAAGAGTGTGAAACAGACACTTACGGCAGTTTCATCTATTGAAGCTGAGTATATTGCTTGCTTTGAGACTACACGTCACGCTATATGGCTGAGGAAGTTGATATCTGGCATGCACCTAGTTGAGTCAATATCACGTCCTCTAACCATTTATTGTGATAACAAATCTGCAGTATACTATGCTAACAATCACAGAAATTCCAGTCGTACAAAGCATTTTGATATCAAACTTATGTTTGTGAAAGAGAAAATTGCTGAGTCTCAAACCCGCGTGGTACACATTCCTGGCACGCAGATGCTTGCAGATCCACTGACTAAGGGCTTACCTGTAAAGTTTTTCAAAATCATGTAACTTGTATGGTATTATGAATTCCTTTGATGCCCTAGTTTAGTGGGAGTTTGAGAACCTTCTTTGTTGCAATTTCTCTTTAGGCTTTGTTTTCTTCTGTGAGTTATGTTCAGTTAATTAGATGCGTCTATATCATTTGTATCCCTATAGGATTCAATGATTCTGTTGTGGTACGCTATGCATGTCACTTGTTTCCCCATAGGAATCAGTGATTTATGTTGTTATCTTACTGAGCTGTGTTTGAAATAAAATTTCATATTTTACTCAGATTATGAGATATCATATCACTTGTTTCCCCATAGGATTCAGTGATTTTGTAGAGTTTCATTTTCTGAATTTGTTTGTGGCTTGTTTATACAACTTGCTTAATTAATGCAATTCAAGTGGGAGATTGTTGGAATATTATTTATGAATTAGCATTAATTAATAAGCCCAATAAATTGGTCCTTATGATCTTGTGTGGACCGTGATAGATGGACCACACAAGTGAGCCCAATAGGCAGAGGCCCAACCCACAACCCAGTAGCCGTCAGTTATTTCCTATCTCTTAACTGACTGAGTCAGAGATAATAGATAATATAATTATTTAATTATATTAATAAGGCGGTTACCGATCTGATCTATATAAGACGATTAGTCGGTAACCACAAACACACGACTCATTTTCTTTACTTTTTACTCTTCTTATCTCTGAACTCTCTGAAGGCTCTGGGGACTTGAGGGTTGTGTACCTGCCTGACTACACGTAGCGGATACAACTTGACCCTCTAATTTTCAGCACTTACAGGTATGAAGACGTGGGAATCTTGAAGTCGTTCCCTCTCCCGTTCTGCGTTTTGTCTTTTACTTCTATCTACTATTTATCTTGCACATATCACATCAAAACTCTGCTTTTTAGACACGTTGGCAAGTTAACATGCATGCAGCTTATGAACCACAGAACCACTTGGGTGTAGTTTCAGAACTACGACCATTGCAGTTTACATGAAAAATGCTTGGGTTCAAGGTCTCATTAATTTAAGAAAAATTCATTATGAAATCTACCTATTAACTTTCTTTTACCAACAATATTTAGGCTATTAAATTTCGTTATCCTGCAATGGAAGTAAGAAGCTAGAAATATACCACTAACCTCAGCAAATTGCTCTTCGATTTCATGTTTTAGTTTCAGAGCATATTCGCTACTAACATCCAAGTTATTTAAAGCTGTTGCAAATTCCGTTCCTGTTTTCTGCACACCAGCACCACCCAAAAATGACTTCGCAGCAAGGTTTGGTTCTCTAATCTTCTGCTGCAATGCTTCATGGTATTCATTGGACAATAAACTACTAGCAGCACTCAAAACTGCTATTACAGAGTTGATATTTGACGTGGATATTGCCCTTCGTATGCAACTCTGCAAGACATAAAACGCATCGTCCACCATGGAATTTGTAAGTCCGTCAGGCACATATTCATCGATCCTTATAGCTTTCCTCACATTTTCCACCATGAAATAACCCTCTAGAATTACATAAAATCCAGTTATATCTTGAACAACTTTACTGAAACTACCACCTCTGAAGGCTTTAGTTGCTCGTGGGACCAACTCTGCATCAACAGAAGTAAGCCCTTTAATCTTTGATATCGTGAACTCGGTATAATCCTCACCCAATTGCATAAGCGACAAAATTTCTTCCAAGTATAATTCAATCTCTCGAGGGTCTGGCCCCTCAGAAACTCCTCCAACCGCAAGCAAATTACTGTTCTGGGCATTTATTTCTGACGATAACTTAGCCAGCCTTCTATAGTCCATATATTTCTTCAAGGTCACGGAACCCCGGACGTCACATTCCTCTTGAAGCTCACAGATCGCATAAACAATACCATCCTCGCCACAAAGACTCTTCAAGATTTCGTAATTCTCTTCAATCGCTAACACAATGTCCTTGAACAAATTCGTCAAACACCCAACGAAGTTAATTTGGTTATGGTTCAAATTGCTGTTGTTGCTACCTGCATTTCCTTGTTCCATCAATTCCACCAATTGCTCGAACTCCAGACTGTATCTCATCCCAATTACCTTCTTCAAATACGCTACATACACTTGCAGCCCCTCCTCCTCAAGACCGAGTGGCGTGTGAAGCCTGATAAACCGTAGAATGGCCGGATGGTCTCGCTGATCCACGGCAGCCGAAAGCTTCTTCCTCACGATCCCTTCAAGTTGCTTTTTAGAAGCCATCAATAGTTCCTTCTCATCCGACCCAGAATCCTTGTAGTCTGCATCAATCTGGAGGAAAGTTTTGACATACCTCGCCGCGGATTCATAGTCCTCGGTTTCAAGCGCTTTATTCACACCCTCCAAACAATTCCCCCTCTCGACGATGGCATCGATGCGAAGAAGCGTGGAATGCACCCTCGACTGCGCCAAGTCAAGCTCCCGGACCTTACGGCTAACGTTATCGGCGAGTTCGCAGGTGGAGCTAACATTGGAGAACATGTATTCGGAATCAGACTTGACAATGTCGAGGACTTCTGAGGATCTCTGGAGTTGGAGAAGCTGTTTGTCGAGGTCGGTCCGCAGAAACAAGTGGTTGTCGAGTTCGACGTCAAGGCCTCGCTGGTATGCAATGCACTCATGGAGTAGCCGAGTCATGGCCCCAACGTCGGCAAGTGATTGGACGTATTCCAATGCCTGCGGTGTGCCGAAGTCGACGGATGTTGATACAGTCGCAGGATGTGCGACAATGCTGCCGTCTTGATCAATGGCCGCGATTGATCTGGTGGAAGTGGAGCTCATGGCCTTTGAGCTCTCTCGAGAAGGAGAGAGAGAATCCAACTGCTCTGGGATCTGGTTCTTTGCCGCGAGAAAGACACGATCATCAGGAAGAAGACGACCCAAACGGATTTAGATCATGGAACGGAGCGTTTCATGCCAATCGAAACGGTACATCTCAATATACTTCATATCGGTGAGTGACAAATGTGAATCTTTTTTAAGATTTACTTGTTTGTTTAAAAATTCCAATTTTCTATTTTCGACAGTTACTCTCAAAGTTCAGCTTAAAACTACTTTGATTTCGATTTATTTTATCGTAGTTTAGTTTATTCATCTTTTTTTATTTCGATTTATTTTATCTTAGTTTAGTTTATTCATCTCCTCTACATAAACTTTTTTTTTTTTTGCCACAGAAACCCTCTTCATGAACTTAAGTTTGTGTGACTCTGGAGCTTTTAAAATTATCTTTTTTTTATAATCACGTATTCAAAAATAGTTAATATAAAAATTAAGATGATACATGAAAATTATCCCATTGTATTTATATATGCAAATTTATTCATAGATTTTTTCATATCCAATCCTTCATAAAATAGAATAAAGATATAAATCCATTTTTCACATACTTCCTCCAGTCCTATTTATAAATTATTTCTACTAACTTCATTAATATCAATACAATAAAAGTATAAAGAATAAAATTTAATAAAATTACAAACATAATTCTAAAAAAGTAAATAAACTATATAATATTTTTTTTTGTTTCTCTCCCTCTTATTTTTTAAGGGTGGTTTAGACATTTCATTTGAAATAAAATATATTATCAATTTAATGATTTATAAAGTAAACCACTTCACTATTTTAAAAGGTGATCAATAAAGTGGACCGAAAGGAATATGTTGTAAGAATGCTTCTTCCTCAAAAAAAAAAAATTAAACTGTTTCAAGTATTCAGCTTGCTGGTTCTTGTCAAATAACTATTGAAAAGCAAATAATCATATTATATAAAAATTCATATCAACAAGCCATTCAGTTGTATTGGCTAACAAACTGTTAAGCTATTACTTTAATGATTTAATAAAATTTTTTGTTATAATTAGTTTGATCATAATTCGACAACAATTTTAATCATTAATTTTTGAACTAGAATCTTGATCGATGACTAATTCAATTTTTAGTGTCTTGTTAATAACCTCTATGGTTGGAGAAGCTGTGATGTTAGTTAGGACTGTAGGAATTTGGAAGCTGCTCACATGCTAGGTCGCTGGGTGACTTTGAGGTTCTTGTGTTGATGTACGAGGCCAACAACAATGAAAGTTAGAAGAGGGGACAGCTGGTTTTATAGTAAAGAATAATGTTGGATCTGTGGTGCACAATCACATAGCTGAAAAAGTTAGTATGGCAGGGTGAATGCCAGTGTGTGAAGCGAAGGCCACGCGCTGAAGACTCTTTTTTTTTTTTTTTGGGTGTTGCAATATGCCCTCTTTGGGAGTGTTCAGCCATAGTGATTTTGTAAATGAATTAATTACTGAACAAATGCTGCTTTGAGTGCATCTCAAGATCACCAAAAACCATACCGCATACGAGGTTGCTCACACTGCACTGGACGACATGTGCTCTTTGGATTGGACTCTAAGATTTGTCTGGGACTGGGAATCTGATCTGGCAGTTTTCTTGCTTCCGTTCTTACTTTCTGTTTCTTTTTTCGGTTTTACTGTCTTGTTTCTGCTGCTGCTGTTTTCTGGTTCTCTTGTATATTGGGGATGTTGATTTGTTTTACTACATGAACGAATCTATATATAGGTTTCTGGCCCTCTCTTTTTTTTACCAAAAAAAAAAAAACTGTTTCAAGCTTGGTATCAAAAAACAGAAAAGGTGGTATCAAAATTGGCACATGGCAATCTCACGTGAACTGCCTTTTTCTTTCCTTTGAATCTTTCTGGAGCAATTCATTGTGGAACACAAACGTCAATTTGTTGCCTTACCTCATGGCCCATGCATGCACGATTTAATTCTCTTATATTTTTTTCTTTTTAATTTGAATACTATCTATTGTTCTTGTATACGAAAATATTAAGAATATGTCGCATTTTGAGGACAGATACAATTACAAATTATCAGGTCAATAAAAAGATGAGTACAAATTAAATTTGAATAAAAACAAATGTAAAGATTATATGCCTGTGGATGTGGGACATTCATGCAAGTTATTGCCGTTTACGGCTGATGCCCCGAGTAACATGACAAGTGGAGGAAAATGTCGTGTTTGCGGCCAGCAGTGGTCCTGTCATTTGGGCCAAGTAAATATCATCTTTTAAAATTTTAATGTTATCGTACATTTAACACGGCCGCCGAGACACATGCATGCATCCACCCTCTATTTTGATACGTAAGGAAAAAAAAACATATATCACACAATTTTTAAAAATAAATAATAATTATGTTTAAAAATAAAAAAATAAATTAAAATATCCTGCATCAATCAATATAATTATATATTAATTATTTTTGATAATGTAAATTATAAGAAGTAATTTAAAAAATATATAATAAATACTCCCTCCGTTTAAAAATATAAAGTATTTTTTGAAAAACTGGATGTTCAAAAATCTAAAGCATTTTTAGTCTTTTAAAATATAATTATTATCTTTTTTTAAAGTATCCGGTGCCTTTATATTTATTATAGGATAGTTAATAGAGATAAATATGAAAAGATAGAGTTAGTTTAAAAGTAGGTAAAAACTTTATTGGGGGCAAAATTTAATTAAAAATGCCTTACATTTTCAAACGAAAGGAGTATTTATTAAAATAGATAATTTTACTTATAGAAAATACAAATTAAAAGTGATAATTTACTAGTTAGCCAAAAAAAAAAGTGATAATTTACCGAGGGAGTGTAATATCAAAATTTGTTTCTTTATTTTATGAATAACTCTACGTTCCATAATCTCACAGGGGAAAAAAATGTGTGATGGAAAAAGCAAGCAGATATAAAATTTTAAAACTCAAATTAGATATTAAAGATTTTTATAATATTTGTTATGCATATTCTATCACATATAGAATCAGTAATACCATTGAAATCAAAAAGAAAATCAACATATATATCAATTAAAAAAAGTTGACACTAATATTTTGTTTTTATTACGTTGTTTACTTACATGTTTGATTTTCTACGATACTAATTAATTTTCAAAAGGAGGTCCAACTAATCTAAATTGAGATAGGTTGAATAGCGTGGGTGCAAATATCTTCCAACAATTTTTTCATTTTCAAAATTAAACTCAAGATATTTTTTTCAAACCAGCCACCTGAAATTTAAAAATTAAATCAAATTTCAACTTAGTTGAGTTGAGTTGGGAAAGATCATTAAGTTGAAAAAAGGGGGGCATGATGATTCTTTTAGTCTCTCAAATTTGCCTCATTTACTAATTTAGTTCCTTAAATTTAACTTTTATTAATTTGACCTTTTACATTTTCTCATATTATGATATTAATCCTTTAAATTTTAAAACACAGATTAATTATCAAATTAATTAAATATGTAATATGTATATGTAGAAAAATGAAAAAACATTACCCCTCAAATTAGCTCAATTTTTATAAATTTAATCCATCATTACGTGTTTTTTTAATTTGTGTCTATTTTTTTAATCTAAATAAATATGTTTTTTTTATTAATCTACATCGTTGTTATTGATATTATGTTGTCCATGTCAGTAGATTTTAATGGTATTACCTCCTTTTTAAATAATAAAAACTAAATTAATAATTAAAGTAAACTCAAGAGACTAAATTAATAATTGAGGAAACTTATGGGACTAAAAATTTCATCGTAATTAAAAAAATTCCAAAACAAATAGTTAACCTGAAATTTTATGTGCAAAGAACAAATAACTAAATCACTTATGCTACTATTATTTTCGTCATATTAGAAAGAATCTGTGATCATATATCTTTCATGATTTTGGGGTATTTACTAATTTTTTTCGATAAATTTTAAGAGGGGTATTTAAAAAAAGGATAATGTTAGTTAAGAGTAGAAATAAAAAAAAATGAATTTTGGAATATTTTTGCACAAAGCACCTAGTTGATGACTTGCAATATTTTACTAAATTTATTGATGCTTTTTAATATAATTGAAAGTCATTTCTTTGAATTTATTAAAAAAAATATGATTAAGTATATGATTATGTATGTGTGAAAATGGATATAGAAATGTGATTATAAGTTAATAGATCAATTATAATATTAATTTTGGATATTGTACATGCAAAAGGCCCAATTTATGAGACCAAAGGTGAAAATTTTGAAACCAAGTCCAAGAAAATAAATCTGAAATTTTTTTTTCATAAGTCATATTTGCTGTAGTGAAAACGCGTTTCGCTGTAGCAAAACATGGGTTTTAATAAAAATATATAGTTTTGAACTTCAACAAATTTTAATGATTTGAGGACCTTATTTACAGCCATTCCTTACTTCTAGCAACTACATGACATCTATGGAGAGAAAAAGAGCCAAAAGAGGGTTGACAAGGCTTGAGTTTAGTAAAAAATCAATGGTTTAATTCAATATTATTTCAATTAAGCTTTTCTTTTTTTTTCCTCTTTAGTTTGATATATATATTACTAATATTTGCTATCATTAGAGCCATGGGTGGCTAGTTTTTCCTCAATCTAGGATGAATTGATTTTTGAATTGGAACATATTTGAATCATTTATTTGAACTTAATGTTAGTTTCATTTACTTAATATTATATTTATTTATCTACTTAATGCTAGGTCATCATTGAGTATGAAATTGGAGGTTTATTTTTTTCCTTAGAAAATGAAATCTAGATTAGACTATTAGATTAAATAATATGAGATTAGAATTTATTTTAATTTGCTAATAGGATAGGAATATACTTATTAGACTCATATAATCACATTAGTGTGAATTTGTGCCTTTTGCCTCTTGGGTATTGTGTTAGAAATAGTATATTAATTCAAGAGAGGGATGTAATTAATCAAAAGATAATTATTTCTATTAATACTCTAGATTAAAAATTAAAATTAAATGAATTTATTTGGTTATTACATGCTCTATGAATTAAAGAAAGGATTATCCATCCCCTAGGTTGCCTTAATTATTTGTATTTATTAAAACTTTTATTTCAATATATTTTTATAATTTTAATTTTTTATTGTGCAAAATCAAAATTAAATTTTTTTTGCTTAATTTAAATGAACATGAGGAATTTATTGCCTAATTATTAATTAACTTAATTATCTGTGTGAATGACTTTAATTTATCTCGTACTATTTTTATGACTTATACACTTGTAAAATTCATTACATTTTTGTATGTATTAGTATCTTAAATTTATTCCACATCAACTTGATATGACTTTAATAAGTGGCCGAACTAGTTCAAATCAAGTTGAGTCAGAATATTCTCAGGTGAAAGTTGTATCATCATCATTGTTGCATTTCCAGAACCTAAACTCACGGCATCTAGTTGAGATAATACAATGTTTTTTATTAATTGAACCTAATGTCTTAGGCTTAATTTTAAAACCACTTCAATGAGACAATTAATTTTTGCTTATTTTTGTGAAGCAATAAAAAGTGACCTTTTTTAGAATTAGAGAGAGTATTTATTTTTGGAATTCTGATTTTAATCTTTTATATGTTTCCCATTTAATTATATACTTCATTTGAATCACAATACAAGTCATTGTTAACTTACTAGATTGGGTCCTTGCATTGCACAAGTTTGACTTAAGAAAACTGAAAGAAGTAATTTAGATAATATCTTTTACAAAATTCTAATTCAAAAAAATAATAAAAAGGAATTTTTTTTTACCTGAATAAAAAGGGTGGTTAAAAGCTCAGGCATCCACCAACATAGGGAAACCAAACGAAATATGACATTTAAAAAATTAGAATCTTAATATTATCAAGATTGAATCTTGATTAAGAGAGAAAGGGAGAGGGAGGTTAGTTAGAATCTTAATTTTTTTAAAAAAATTCATATCCTTCCAATTGATGCCTTGAATATAATAAATATAATATTTTGATTCAATCAAAACATTTCATTAACTACTCAATAAAAATACAATTGAAAAAATATATTTTCTTTGTCTCAAATTATATAACACTTTTGAAGATTTTTTTGTTTTAAAATATAAAACTTTGGGTAAATTAAGACTTTATTAAATGTAACAATTTTAATACTATCATTTCTTTCTCTATAATTAATCTCCATCATTTTCTTTTAAATATATTAAATGATAATTATTTTTAAAAAATTATATTTTTATTTTGAAAAGATAAGGTTGTTAAGTGTATTTAATAAAATTTATTAATATGCATAATTTTATCTAAAAATGTTATATAATTTAAAACGGAAGAAGTTACAACTATCAAATGTCTTATATTTTAAATTAAATAAATTTTTTAAAAATAACTTATATTATGACCTAAAAAGAGTGGGTTTTTTAAAAAATAAAGTTTTTGTTGTATGCTACAAGTCCTTTTAAAGCCTTAAAATAATATTTAATAATTCTTTTTTTAATCTCATTTGATCTAACAATTTAACTAATTCGTGTAATACAATTAAACACTTACCTTTATTGCGATACAATTATCTAGAGGTACATTTAATAAAACATGTTATATTTTTATACATTTATTGTAATCTCATTTCTTAATCTGGACGGAAGAATTTCAAATACACTGCTTTCTTTGCCTCGTCAAAACTTGATTGAATGACACGCGTTAGTTACATATTTGTTTTACCAATCCTCATTGCGTGATGTCCAGAGAAAAAAACAAAATTGTCAAAGGTAGACCCAACAGATGAGCATTGGGAAGCGAAGAACAAGATGCAGTTGGCGCCGTCCAGTTAAGGGCCACAAAACTGAAATGTTCCCTTAAAAGGCGACACGTGTCATTCTCCCCACCTCAAGTCCTAAAGAGCGGTGGTCCCCACTACTAACGTGGCAATCCCAACGAAACAAAATATCCGCTCTCATCTTCCGGAGGAGCGCCTCCTCCCCTCACCCGTGGAGCCCACGTACGTGGACGATCACCATACCAATTTTAAGACAATGGCCCAAATTCCGCCACGTCACCCCTCTCTGCAGGGTGGCCCAATCTCGGCCCCATTTTGATCCACCTCAAAGATTTTTAGTGGTAAGCAAAGTAGTTTAAACGTCCGCCCAATTCTTTTCCCCTATTTATTAATTTATTAATTTAAAAGACGTATTAAAAGTATAAAAATTCGCTTGATTCCAAAACAACATTCAAATCATGATACAAATAAGAAATTAATTTGTGTTATGATATTTTTGAATAAAATTATTTTTTTATAGCGCAAGATTCTTTCGATCTCCTATTCTTTTCCATATATACAACTGCAGATATTCAACTTCAGAGTTATTCTTCGTTCGATGATCCGAGTTTGGTAGTTGCCAACTTGCCATTCATATTGCAACTCATTTTCTTTTCCATCTTGCGATAAAATCACACTGAAAGTTTTCTGTGGAAGATATTTTTTTCGTTTTTCGCGGTTGTGAGCTAAAGTTGGTTTAATCGAAGCATTGAAGACGGTTTGAGATTCTCTGTTGTTTTAGTTCCACTCGTTTCTTGCAGACTTTGCAGCCACTTTTCCGATATTTATTTTTCTTGGACTTGAATGAGGTACAGTTTCATTTTGATCTGCAGACAACCTTCTTGTCCCCTCATTTTCTCTGAATGATAATTGAAAGTTAGGGTTTCAGTTTGTCTTTTTGACTGCTTTATTGTGCTTGGTCTTTCTGGTGTAGTATGCTCTTGGAGAATGGGTGAAGCGGTTCTGGCTAGCTGTGAAAAGGGGTTGGAGATGAGGTTGGGGCTGGAAGAGTTGAGCAAGATGAACCAGTTGAAGGATGATAGCTCCACAGAAATGGTTAAGTGGGACAACCTTCTTCCTCAGACGGTGCTCAGTGTTCTACTTGTGGAAGCTGATGATTCTACTCGCCAGATTATAGCAGCCCTTCTCCGTAAATGTAGTTACAGAGGTATACTTCAGTAACTTACTATTTATGGCTTTTCTTGTTTTTATTGGTTCTAGATATTATTTATGGCATAGTATACTTCTCTCAAAATTTCCGTTTCATGTAAACCTTATTATGAAGATTTGATAATATACATATTTCACGAAGATATCGTAGGTATGCTAGCAGGGGTGGATGATTAAATTTGTTATTTGGACGAAATCCACTGATCCTTCTTGTATCAGTTCAATGCAATGCTTATATGCTTATAAGTAAGAATTGATTGAGATTTTACTCACTTAGGTTGGAAGAGGGATTCTTTATTTGGTTGTTGCTCGGACGTGTGGCTTGGTTGGTCCATGTTTGTTCTTTAAATAGTGTGCTGATATACAGTAAGTAATCTTTATCGTTTCAATCTCTTGAATCCGCTCAGCTAAAAAAAATGTATATACATACATGTTTTCTCTGATGGTGTTTTGGCCCGCAACTGAATTGGCTTTTGATATCACTTTGATTTCTACCGCTTCTCAGATTATAAGAATATAGAATTCTCTCTTTCTGTAGGACAGATTTGTATTTGTGGCTTCTTTCTGAATTTTAGATGAAGGTTGTCTCAGCTTAAAGGCGCCCTTGAAGTTATTCCTTCAAGCAGGCCTGTGATACTTTTATACTTCATCTTTAAGATAATCTTATACATGCAGTTGTAGCGGTTTCTGATGGATTAAAGGCATGGGAAACATTGAAGAAGAAAGCTCCTGATGTTGATCTCATATTAACTGAAGTGGAGCTGCCGTCAATATCTGGATTTGCACTTCTTACTTTAATCAAGGAGCACGAAATTTGTAGAAACATACCTATCATAAGTGTGTTGATTAAAATTGTATGTTTATCTTCATCAACTATATCTCCTGTTTCCATATGACTAACGTACTCTTATAATCTGATGGCTGTGTAGTGATGTCTTCTCATGATTCTATTAGCATGGCAATGAAATGCATATTTAAAGGTGCAGCTGACTTTCTTATAAAACCTGTTCGGAGGAATGTGCTATCGACCTTGTGGCAACATGTGTGGAGAAGGCATCCTGTATGTCGCATTCTTCGACCTTCTTGTGTCGATACTTTTGTAACTTTTCTTGTATGATCTACAAATTTGACATGTATTTATATCCTCTCATTTTTCTTTATCATTGTTCTCTTGTTATTGAATGTTATTTATAGATCAGTAAGGCATACTCATGGTCTAACATTTCCACAGAAAAAACTTGAAGCTACTTCAGAAAACAATGTTGCCAACAATCATTCTACTGGTTCTGTGGCTTCCACACAGAAAAACAATGAATGCTGTGAGAAAAAGAGTGAGGCCCAAGTAAGGCATCCCTTCCATTCAAGTTTTGCTGAAGTTCTTGTTGCATGTCAATATCTCTCATTTCAATTTGGAGAGTGGGAAACAGGAATTGATATGAAGTCTCCTAAAATTCTATCTTCTCCCTTCTCTTTCAATACTTTGCTTAAAATTCCATTTTCGCCTTCTCTTTTAATACCTAGCTTAAATGACAAGTAAAAATGTACTGCATAGGATCTCTGGTACAAAATATATGTGGAGCCCTAATAGCATGAGGAGCATGTCCTTTCCACAGTAAACTGGCTTCATGAAATTTCACATAAAGACTGCATGTTCTGCCAAATCTTGTGCAGAGCACTTGTACATCGCCTATTTTGGAAGCTGAGAGTGCATACATACAAAATATGCAGGATGCGTCCCAGCCCAGGAGTTATTCAAATTTGAGCAACATTGACACAGTGAAGTATGAAGAGTCTTCAAAATTTGAAAGAGACTCCGCTAGGCATAATAATGGAACTACGAGTATGTCACTTCCTCACCTTCTATCTACTATTGGTTAACTCGTTTCTTTATTTTGTATGCTATAAAAAGATATGCTATCTTACAAAGTACTCATTGCAGGGAAGTCGATTATTTATTCATCAGAGGCTGCTAGGTGCAACAGCATTACGAACTTGACAAATTTAAGGCTGGAGCCAGACAACTGTGCTGAAAAAGAGAATCAGGATGACTCTTTAAGAGCAGAGTTAAATAGAGAAAGTCCTAGTTTTGATACAGAGATTCATGGCTGCAAGAATGAATTGGTAGAACTTTCTAGGGGAACTATTGACTTGATTGCCACATTTGAGAACACTCCAAAGAATGCTGATGAGAACTATAGTCTTGCTGATGGTGGGAGAAACAAGTTTGATTTCGATCTGCAGTTGGAACTTTCCCTGCGAAATTTTTCTGGTAGTTCACGTAAACAAGAACCTGAGGAAAGGCAAACATTGCACCATTCAGATGCATCTGCCTTTTCTTGGTAAGTTTTCTGTTTGCTTGTCATTATCTTAGTTCCTTGACTGATATCAAATAACTGAAGATGGATGCTACATAGTGTTTTCTTTGCTGAAACAAATTTCAACCGAAAGAATATCCATTATCGCTATTCAACATGTTGAGCTTTAACATACTCTTGTTGGAACCAACCTAGAGTGATGGTAACATAGCTTTGCTTCTAAAGAGACAGCATATTTATAGAAGTTTCTTGAGTAATTGGAGGAAGATTGTGAGATATTTTGCTAATGGTAAACAAAAATAATTTCGTACAAAATTATAAAATTTGTAGAGCGAATTAGCTAGTTGTGTATCCAAGTATCATTTCTTTATATTTCTGCTTAACCATTGGTCTCCAAAATAAGCTCCTTCAAATTTTTATGCCTGGGAGAGAATTTAGTATATTTCATTCAAAACAAAAGCAGTAGTCCTGTCTAAGTTATTCTGATGATACATATGTCAATCTTATCTGCAGTTATAGTGGTAATAAGTTGCCACAGCCCCTTTTTCCAGCATTACCAACGAGTTCCGCCAAAGCCTATAGCACTGTGCTGAATTCCCAGAATTCTAATGAAACATCTGGATTCGATACTTCTTATCTGTATGGTGGGACAAATCATGCTCGGGAGAATACAATCCCACTGGCCCTTCACCAATCTGGACGAGTTGGAGTACAATCGCGAAATGTTCATCCTGGATCCTCTCCTGCTACTGGTGTTACTTCTGATGACATGTTCAGTGGACATGGCAATGTTATGCCTTCTATGTTCTGCACAGAATCCAGTGCTCATCCCATGTGGAGTCCCATGTCAGTCAGCCAGAAAGAGAATTCTCCCTTTCCTGAAATTACATTCGTGTCAAATGCTGATAGTCACAACTCAGAACTACATTACCATTGGTCTGATGCCACCTGTGCTTCTCTCGATAAAAAGACAGAGCGCGATAGCAGCTACTTGGATCCCACGATGCACGAATATCCAGGTGCTTATCAGAATACCAGTATTGGTTCATGCCATCAAACTCCAAGCCAGATCAATGATGGTTCGTATGGAAGTCTGGGCAGTATAAGAGATGGAGATTATACTTCAGCTGTGGTAATGGAGAAAACCCCTGAAAGCTTTAGTAACAACGGTTATCACGATTATGAAGAATGCAGAGGGGCAGATTCCCAGCGTTCTAGCCTAAGGGAAGCTGCTCTAACAAAATTTCGACTGAAGAGGAAAGACAGATGCTATGAGAAAAAGGTGCTGACTGGTGCTGCTGCTGCTAACAATAGCCCCACTTATATGCGTTGTGCTAATACTTGCCTGTTGGGTGTTTCTGAATCTAAAATCCCCATACTTGATCGAATTTATCATTCAATTAGCAGTTTGAACTAGTTTGCATGTTTCAAAATAAATGTCATGATTATGAATATGACAACATTCTTGTCGGAGTTTCTATCACTGACATGCAGTCAAAGTTGTCTTTTGAAATCCTTTAAAATGCTGAATGTTCAAAATTCTTACACAGGTCAGGTATCAAAGCCGGAAAAGACTGGCAGAGAAGCGTCCTCGAATAAAAGGGCAATTTGTGCGTCAAGTTCCAAATGATTGTCCGCTTGTGGATTCTGGTGGTGGTCCCTGATTTTTTTTTTTTTTTTGCGTTTTAAGATACCTGCTTTTACATGTATATTATATAGTCTAACTCTAACCCTATTGTGCATCTGGAAGGAGAAGCTGCAGTGTAGGGGCTTGCGTTTGTGGTAGGATGATAATGTTAAGGCTAAGAAGGTCGAATGTTTAGCAGTTGGTGTTTTAGTGGTTATGATATTTTTCTTGTATTTTCTTTTCGTTGTGTTGACAAACTTGGAAATTTAGGATTGTATTTATTTAGTTGGATTGCAGGTTAAGTTTTGCTTTTCTATGCTGTATATGGTTTGGTTGCCTTTGACGAATGCCTACATATATAAGGTTGTGATTATGCAGGATGATGTTTGTATATCCTCAAGCAGCTCCAGAAATCAGGCGAACCGTTCTTGCTCTTAAAAAAATCGTTTTCTCCAAACGTAATACTGAAATTTCAATTAAAATGAAGTATGCCATATGCTGGGCTGCTTCTTGACATGGTTTCCAGAGGACTCTGGGTGGTTTTAAATTGTACGGAGGCCTGGAAAAACTCGTATTGGGCTTGCTGGCCTAGTTTTTTTATAAACAGGAGAGGAGTCTTTCGTTTTTTCAATTTTTATTTTTCATTAATTATAAAATGTAAAAAAAAAATAATAAAATAACAATGAATAGTGAAAATTGAGAAAGTAAAGGAGAGACCCCTCTCATGTATAAACCGTCTAACTGGCGACTGAAAAAAATAGGTGGGTCAGCCATTGTTTTTTTTTTTTTGTTTAACCTAGCTCATTGGCTTAATAGAGAAACTTCTGAGTTGTAGTTATAAAAAAGTTGAGTTCTGAGATATGTTCGGATCATGGTGAGCTCCAGGATCATGACTAAAGTCACCTAATTTTTTTTTAATAAAAAAAACCAATCATAAAAAGATGGTAGCATTGTTTTGAGAAAATTTAATATATTTATATAATTTTTTTTGTGATAATTTGTTGGCTTGTTTCCCTCGTTTGCGTCGAGAAGACTGCATTAAATATGTGGCGGCACTAAGGTGTAGACCTGTAGTAGTAATAAACAGCAGACGTCGTGTGGGACCCACGACGATGTGGGAGCTAACGAAGCAAGATGGAAGCAGGGCCAAGCACTTGGAAAACTGAAATAAAAACACATCAGCGAAAGTGAGCTCCTTCGCATGCAGGAACTGTTCAAACCCCCCCCCCCCCCCCCCCAAAACAAACCAAAAAAAAAACTAAAAAGCCAAAAAAAAAAAAACAAAAGAAAACACTTATCAGGTCAACTGGCTTAAATTCAGCCGCATCTCTGCCTCTGCCCTTCCTCTTCTCAAGCTCTTCTCTCCACTCTTGTCTTCTTTTGCAATTTTCTATTAATATTTTAAAGCATCACCCGCCCAAGTCACAATCACATCTTGTCTCCCAGCCACCAATATTATATATATATATATATATATATTCTCCAATTTCATTTATAAAATACATTTTAAAAAATTTATTTAATTTTATTTATAAATTATAATGTAACTTTTTAAATAATATTTAAAATATATTTTTAAAATTATTTTAAAAGAGAAATAGTATTATTTTTTAGAGTTATTATATAGTAGCATATTTAAAAATTTATATATTTTTATTTTTTATATTTTTTAAAATTAATATTGATAGGATTGATAAAAATAACTTATAAAAAATAATACTAGCATTTTAGAGAATTTTCCATTTTGTAGGCAGGATATGTAAATTATAATTAATTATATTTTTTATGGATAATTATATTATATATATATATATATATATTATTTTACCTACTCATCTATCGTTCATTGTCAATTACGTGCAAGAACTGTAGTGTCTTTATTCTCATCATTCTAATATATGTATAGATAGCTCAAACTCACCAGCGAGGAAGGTTGTATATATCACAATTTTCATGGCTTCAATTTCATTTTTTTTATTATTTGCAGTTTATCTTAGGCAATCATATTTGACACATTATCAAACACTAAATATAAACACCTCTTTTGATAGAAATTTAAACTTAAATTCATTATGTCATGAAAAACTAGTCTCTGCTACTAAACTTAACCCTATTAATACTTCAATTTTATTATTGTTGGTTGGCGTTAATTAGTCATGAAATATATTTGTTTTCCAACTGAATATAGGGTGGCGCAATGGGCTAATGACAAACTGGCTACATGTCTTTTTTTTTTTTTTGGGGTATCTTGAGTAATAAATGATGTTGTGCAAGACGCAGAAACATTACACACACATATATACCTGATTGTATGTTATAAAAGTCGACGAACTTAAAAAAAATACTATTATATGAAATATTCATGTATAATTTTCGATGATATAACGTAGTACATGAAAGCTATGCAAAAAACATTACTTAGATCGCAAAATGCTATTCCATAAAGCATAAGATTCTGATTTCTTTTTGATATATCTTACACCAGAAGCTTCATCATGAATCTGAACATTGCCGTCTTATCTTATCTTATCTCAAAGTGTGAGATTAAGGAACTAAAGCATTATTTTCAGCAAAAGCGAGGGGAAAAAAAAGGTTTAAATGGAAAGGAAAAGCAAAGTGAAGCATTCAAGAGAAAGCAAAACGCAAAAGAGAAAACACAGCTTGAAAAAGATTAGTCAATTAATAGATCGTCATAGATTAGTAATCTCTGTGAAAAATGAGAACTGAGAAACGCAACTGACCTCCACTTCAACTCCAAGTGATAGATCGAATCCTTTTTCGCTTTATATCTTTTCTTGTCTTGAGAGTCCTGCCCATTTTCCTTCACTCCACAGCTCCACTTTCCTTCCTCCTCATTAGCCTCCAAAACCCCTTCAACTCCAAATCAGCTTCTCCCATGGCAGAACAGAACCCTCGGCCGCCACCAGCATCTCCGTGCCCACTCCAAAACCACGGTCACGACCTCGAGGACGAGAAATACAACATGCCCAAAGGTTCCGAATCCCACATGCCCAAACGCGCTCTCTGCTCCTGCATTACCATCTTCCTCCTCCTAGCCGGCATCACCCTGCTCGTCCTCTGGTTCGTGTACCGTCCCCACAAGCCCAGATTCACCGTCGTTGGTGCCGCTGTCTACGGCCTCAACGCCACAGCGCCGCCGTACCTCACCACCTCCCTTCAATTCACCCTGCTGATCAGAAACCCTAACCGTCGCTTGTCGATCTACTTCGACAGGCTCTCGGCCGTGGTGTTGTACAGGAACGAGGCGATCACAGCGCCTATGATGCTGCCGCCGCTGTACATGAAGCGGCGCAGCATGGTGTCGGTGTCGCCGATGATTGGGGGATCTCCGGTGGCGGTGTCGGCGGAGATTGCGAATGGGTTGGCGGCGGACGAGAGCTACGGAGTGGTGGGAGTGAGAGTGGTGGTGCAGGGGAGGCTGAGGTGGAAGGCAGGAGCCATACGGACTGGGCACTATGGAGTGTACGTCAAGTGTGACCTTTTGATGGGTCTCAAGAAGGGATTTGTGGGTCAGGTTCCATTGCTCGCAGCTTCTCCTTGCGTTGTAGATTTCTGAAATTTTGATTCATTTCTCTGATAACTGTAATCAATTCTGAGCCTGCCCGCTTCTCTTTTTTCTTTTTCCCCCTCATCATCTGATTCATCTCCTTCTTCTACATGTATTTTATTTTATTTTAATAGCTTCATTAACCTCTAAATTCTCTCGCACCTGTAACTAGATTTTCCGTTATTGTGTCATATTTCTCAACCAAAATTGGTTGCTTCAATGAGAACTGAGAATTTGGCCAAAAAAAAAAAACAGAGAGAAAGAACTGAGAAGGTTGACAAATATCCTCCCATATACTCTCCTGCCAACGGCACGCTGTACCTTTAATTTTTAAAATGTGTAATTTTTTTTAATTTTTAAATTTTGAGCGCATAAAACATCACCTTTAAATTGGTAAGATGGGCCATTATTTTGAAGAATTAAAATGGGTGCCACATTAGCATGTATTTAAGTCTCATAACTATAAAAATAATGCTTTTTTTTAACTTAATAATGAAATTTTGAGCACTCACAAATTAAAAGTTGAAAGAATTTTTGTATATTTCAAGAATTTAAAATCTACAATATTATTCACATAATAGTTTAAAATTGAGAATGCTCATTGATTCAAAATAAAATTAGGGTAAAATGTCATTTATTTATTTCTTGGTTCTTTTTTAAGAAATATGAAACACTTTATTCATTATACTTATACATATACTTCCTCCATTCTTTTTTATTTTTGGGAAAATTATTTTGAGTTGCTTCACAAAATATTTAAATAATAGTCAATCTATTTGTTAAATTGCCAATAAACCTTATAATATTTAAATATTTTTTGTGAAACTTGTGTGTAATTTTTTTCTTCAAGCCACTTGTAAATACTAAGTAAGTTAGAATAATAAATTTATCCTAAAAATAAATCACTTTCTAATTTTATTCTTAAATTTGAAAAAAGCATATTTAATATGCGGCAAGAGTTTTCTTGAAAATGAAATATTACACTTCTCTTTAAATTTTATTAGAAAATATTTTTTAAAATTATATACTCTATCTGTTTAAAAATATAAGGCATTTTTAACTAAATTTTACCCCAATAAAGTAGTTATCTACTTTTAAATTAATCTTATTTTTCATATTTATCTCTATTAAACACCTTACAATAAATATAAAGTCATTATTAATAGGGACACTTAAAAAAAATAATGATTACACCTCAAAAGATTAAAAATATCTTATATTTTTTTAATATTCAATTCTTTAAAAAATACTTTATATTTTTTAATAGAGAGAGTATCGAGGATTAAAAGAAATAAGAGAAAATGATTTACATGAAGCACCAACCAAACTTTATAGAATATGACTTCTAAAAATAATGAAAGGAGCGTGAGTAATTATCTTGAGCTTGAAGTTTACGCGGAGAATGTTCAAGGTTTGTTGAAAATTTGTCATTAAATTCATGCTTGTGATCTTCGAATCTGTAATAAAGTTGTTGGTCACTCATCAAGAAAGTATATATAAATTCATGCTAGTGACGAACGATGTTCATTATTCTCCAAATTTAAATTTTTTTATTTAGTTTTATTTTATATTTTTTAAATTAAAATTTTTAAAATTTATCAGAAGAATCTGTAATAAAGTTGTTGGTCACTCATCAAGAAAGTATATATTTAATTAAATTGTTCAATAATATTAAAATTTGAGACTTTTGCACATGTAGCTCATTTAATAAAATCAAACAAGAATATTAGCCTAACATTTCAAATGTTTTGCAATGTGGCCAGATTAATATTTAATTTAAATTAAAATAATTAAAAACCCCTTCTTCTCAAATTTAAAATCTTATTTTCATTTTTAGATCTGAAATATATTATGCCTAAGCTAATGATAAGGTATTAAAAAATATTTAAATATTGAAACGATATATGGTTGTAGAAAGGCTATAATTATAATCATTCAGTTATAAAAATTTTACTATTTTGTTGCACAAGTTTTTTTGTATTGCTTTTGGAGATAAAAAGGGAAAATTGCATCCCAATTGATTGTAAATGAACGACGTTCCACAATCTTTAAAAACTTCTTCTATAATCCCTTGTTAATATATTTTTTACGGCTAATTTATTCTAAAAAGTTTACATTTTTATAAATTACCTATCCACATGTATTTGGACAATCCAAAACTAATATTAATTTTTTAAAAAATTGAGTTTTTATTTTGATAAATATAATATTACAAGTAAAGAAAGATAATATTCTAATTGACACTTTTCAAAAAATATTTTTTAAAAAATTACAAGTTAAAAATTTTAAGTATCAACTATCCAAGTTGGTAATAAACAGTTATAAAACAAATTTATTAAATGTTATAAATTTTTATTTTAATAAATATAAGATTAAAATAAAGATAAAAGCTTTAAATTTGAACCATCCAGATTAAATCTAGATGGTTCATATCTCATTGAGCACCCTTGATGAGCCCTAAAACTGATCCTTTGACTTAGGTATGAAACATATTGTGCTCGCATTGCTCAATGCTCCTCATGTATGATGATCAGCCCAAAACTGATCTAAGCCCTTTAATTTATCTTAAAATAATTTATGTTGTTCAGCTTATAGTAATTTTTATATGTTTTTAATATTATATTTATTAAAATAAAAATTATAAAAAAAAGTATTAAACATAGACTGTTTCTTGTGCTCATGAGAAAACCAGCATCAAACTACTCATCACCTTCAAACTTAAAGCTATATATTTTTATTTTTTGTCAAATTTAAGTTTGTTAATAAATTTATTTATAATCAATTTGACCAATACATATTTAATCTGGATTGACTATTTTAGTATTAAAATTTTTTAATTTTACAAATTAACTATCCAAATATATTTTGAATAATATAGATATAACTTGGGTAATTTCATTTAATATTAAAATTTTTATAAATTGATTATCTGCATATATACTTGTATAGATTTAATATTAATTTTTCCATAAATTTTTATTTTAATAAATAGAATATTAAAGATATTTAAAAATCATTTTAAAATATAAAGAGATTATTTTACGATGAATTAGTGAGCTTAGATCAGCTTTTGAATTGATAAGCACGCGGTGCTCATTATACTTGATGAACATCAAATGCGATCGAAGTAAATACGTACAAAGCACAAAGTGCTTGTTTAGATAGGTTCCATAATCAATTATGCAATCCTAAAACTACGGTTTTGAGGGGAATCCCCCTACTAACATTCTACTTCCATAGCAGCGTTCTGGATCGTCCACTCATCAACTTCTCAGTATCAATTATCAAATTGATGCCGAATATACCATTACATCACTATTCTTTTTTGCAAAACAACGCATGTGAATTCTCCCTCGCAAAATGTTAAGTGCATTGTGGGCCATTGTATATGCATTTATTAAATTCGTTTAAACTTGAATATATTCATTTATTGTTTAATTTATTTAATTTATATATTTGAACTATAATAATAAAAAAATTTAATTCAAACTTCTGGGTAAGGTGCAATGCACATCCCTAAGTTATATATATATATATATTGTTTGTTAAATAGTAAAAATAATTTTTTTAATAACATTATATATAATTTTATTGTCATTCTCATCTATGCCCCTGCAGCCATGTCAAAACAAGTCATTATCATTATCTTTTTTTACTATTTATATTTATATTTTCTTCTTTATATTTCTTTATGAATATTTTTGCTTTCAGTGATTTTAATTGTTTTTGCATTGATTGAAACGTGTTTGAAAATTCAATGGAAATTGTCACCGTCACTTTACTTTTATTCTATCATCTATTTTTCATCAATATTTATTGTCTACTTTCCATTAACATTAAATGGATCGCTATGATAAACTCCCTTTAGTTTTATTTATAACAGTAACATTTAAAACTTATTAAATTTTTAGAAAGTTAATAAATTTTAAATTTTTCTTGATTATAATGAAACATGTTAAAAATAAATTATAAATAGAATTAGAAGTAGTATATTTTATTTCTTAAATGGATCAAAACAAATTTAATATTATTATGTGCAACTTTATCAATATTTTCATTTTAAGACTCATGTTATTTATTGTAATTTAGACATTTAAATTAACTATGACTAAAATATTTAAATATATTTAATTATGTTAAAATTAATTTTAAAAAATAATATCCAAATACCATCATGTTATAATATAATTACTTATATTGATTAATTTTTATAATTAATTATACTGAACATGAAATCCAAACGGGGTTGAGCACATTCATTCTCTTCCACGTACGCACGCATTTTGTGAGCATGAGGAGGAAAGTGATGGACGTATGGCACAAAGTTGACGAAGAAAGCGCCACTTGTCTTTATGCTATGAAAAATAAAAAGTAGAAAGCGGTGTCGCAAAACCAACAGAATATTTTGACCTGCCTCACCCTTCAAAACCATTTACAAGTCACTTTATATCTTCTGTTGTTTGCGCGTCATCTTGGCTTTGAGCTTTTCTTTATCAAAGTTCAACAATCACTAGCTTCCGGATGTATAAATTACTACCTCTCACCTTGTTAGGTGTCCATGAAAATTGTTATTTGTTACGTTCTCATTTGTCATTTTTTAATTGAAAGCCCTCGATCAAGATCTATAATTTTCATATAATAATATAACACGTGTATGCATGTGTTTTTTGCATGACAAGCATTTAGTTTTTTTTTATTGAATTATATATTTATCATATATCATATTCTTCGGGAAATAAATATTTGCATTATGTTTATGTTGAGAGTATTTTTTTTCAATTAGTATGTGTCTTACTGTGATCTTAAATTGTTAGAAATATTTCCTTCCTCCACTCCTTTTATCACTGCGAAAAAAATGAGTTCAAAGAGTAATTGATTATTAATTATCCAGTCGCCACAAATTTGCACATTAAACTATACTTGTTTCATTTTTTCAAAATAAATGATACCAATAAAAAGAGGAATAATATGCACCATATCCTGAAAACACCAAAAACATGCAAGATTGTGTGTTTTGTGTGAGAGGAGAGACAAGAGCAAAAAGTAGTGGATCAGGAATGGGATTCGTAAGAAAAGAAAAAAAGCTGATATGATTGGCGATTGGTATGAGAGCTTATGGCTCAATCTTCTCACTTCTGGTTCTGGCTTTTC